TATATATATATATATATATATATATATATATAAAGTAATCTTCTAATAAACTAGAAAAAAGTTGGACCATCTTTAACAGAACTTTAATTGCGTGGTCTATTTCCTCAGGTGTAATAGCAGTAAGAGTATTATTAGTAGATTGAAACTCTCGAGTACACTTTCGTCTTGAACCAACGGCTATTAGCGCACATTTCTTGTAAAAGGATGAAATACACACTTCAAGATTACGTGACACAGTTTTTAATTATTTGGTCCTTTGTGCTCATAATCAAACATCATTCATATCAATCTGTATAAAAGTTACAAGGCTACGTCAACAAGAAAACCAGCGCTACACATAGCGTAACAGGCACAAGCCTACACAAAAGTTGATTTAAATACGACCACTACGGTCTGAACGTTAAGATGTTGAACTATTATATATATTTATTTATATATATTTAAATGAATTAATTTCAGAAATTATAATTGCATGCTGATATGGTTGTCGGACTTTCAATGTAATCAATCTGTGTGAAATATTAATAATCCCCCAAATTTCCCAAATTTAATCTTAAAAAACTGTAATATACTTATTGTGAAAAATATTGCCTCGGCCGGGAGTCAAACCCGGATCTCTTGCATTCCTCGCACGGAATCCGTGTACAACGATGTGTGTTCTAAAAATGTGTGATCTTTATATTTGATTTTAACATTTCTACTTTTTAAGTTTTAATATGTTCAACAAAATGCAATGCTTCATGTTCCGTGATGATTAACAACACTGCATCTTTGTCATTTTGCGAGTGATTTAAGCATTATGGACATGTGAGCTGAATTATACTTGTTGTATATTCTTGCTGAGGAGGACTCCAAAAAGAGTCGAAATGTTCAAAATAAAGAAGACATCAATTCAATATCTGATTATTGATTGTTCACTAAATAATTGCGTCATTTGTCGTTGCTGACTCTCATTAGCCTACTATATTTATCTTTTTGTATTGTTTCGCAATAAATTTATTACAGTTTTTTAAGATTAAATTTGAGAAATTTGGGGGGATTATTAATATTTCACATTGAATGTGTCCGACGCAATTGAAAGTCCGACAACCATATCGACACGCAATTATAATTTCTGAAATTAATTCATTTAAATGAATATATATATATATATATA